TATCATCATCATCATCATTAGCCTCAACGTCTTTTGATATCACGCTCTCTACTATACTTTTCCCCAAAGTTTACTGTGGTGGGCAGGCTGTCTCTCGAGTGATGTGTCAGGATAGATGTAACCGGTCAGTAAGATTGTGTACGTTTATACCTCAATGCCAGAATCAATAAAATCTAATAAAATACTTATGAAATTTAGTAAGTTTTAGATTCTTTTAAATATAATAAAAATATAATCGTAAAATTTACTCTATTTAATATTATTCCACTTCTATAAAAAAAAAATCTTTTGCATTCAACAGCAAATAACTCACCAATTACAGAATGGAACAATGTTTTATGAAATAATTCACTTTATGCAGTTACGAGATCAAGGGTGGAGTTGACTTTAATTTGAGAAACTCAAAAGTTTGTATAAATTTTTATAAATTGTTTTCTCAAATCATAGGAATAAATTTCACACCTAAAAGTTCCAATGAACCAAGATCTAGCAAAGCAAAAATTTATATTTTCAAATTTGTAAGGTATAAAGGGTACTTGTGTCCTTGAGCAAGGCACTTTATCTGCATTGCTTCTCTCCACACAGCAGTATAAATGGGTACCTGGTTGGGTTGCTTGCTCCTACGCTGATTACCAGTAGCAACACTAAGCATGAGGACCCAATGACCAGGGAAAAGAACTACGCTTTATAACCGCAAGGAAGGGGCGCATTATAAAATGCCCATACCAATACAAGTACATTCAAATGCAATAATTGAACATTTTTTTTTTACTTATAGTGTGTGCATCTTTAAAATATAGTTTTCACATACAGCATGGGATGAGATGATGTAAATTAAAGGATCGTAACATATGACATGTTCAGGCAATGTTCTGTAGGCCTACTAACAATGCGCAAGATTTGAAAACAACAACATACACACAAGGCATCTGCATGATCACCATGCCTGTATGGGATCGGAGCCTGGTTCTCACGAGAGAACCAGACTCCGATCCCCACGAGAGCCCTAGTATCCGGATCGGGAGCTAACCGTTAGCACCTGTGTGAGAACGCCCGATCAGTTAGCGCTAACCGTTAGCAGTATCCGGATACCACTAACGGTTAGCAAGCGCTTTTGGTTAGCAAGTTGAGCGCGTTTTTATTATCAACCAATCACACGTGCGCGTTTACAATTTCCAGTTTCTTATTGGCCAGTGATTCGATCATCATATTTTTGGTATCCGGATCAGGATTTTCTCGTATGGACGCACGGCAGCTAGCGGTTAGCAGGATCCGGATCCTGCTAACCGTCAGCAGACGTGTGAGAACATAGCCCAAAAGTACATGTGAAACTATTTATGTGAACCTGAATCATAGCTGAACAAGTTAACCTGGAAATGAAGTACATGTCTGACGTGGTCTAACACAAAGGCTATTCATAACGATTAGCCGCTCAAAAACACTGGCTAGAAACAAGTAACATCCTCCCAGGTTGATTTGGAAGGCCTTCTATTCTGGTGCTAAATAAATTATTTTTTAAAATATATTTATTTATTAACTCAATCAACTTAATTCACTTAACCTGCTACCTAGACATAACATACACATGAAATTTGTCTGATAAATACATTTTACAAAATAAATGTGAAATAATTGACTGTCTTAGGCATTTAAATGAAGACTATTGTTATGCCTACTCCACACCTTCATTTAAAGGAATCAGAGGAGAGATACAAATAATGCTCCTCTAAGTATCAAAGAGCTCTGTTGCCTCTCCTCAGAATTTTGCAAAATCGGTGACATTATTTGGAAGTGGTGGTCTGGTTAAGAAAAAAAAGTTATTTGTTCTTGATTGGAATTTGGAGCATTTTTAGAGGACAATAACTTCAAAAATAACAACAGAAAATATCAGATTTTTACTAATCCTCTACAGTATATCTTATGTATGTTTTGTGTATTTTTTCCTGGTCGTTTTCTAATGTGGTTTTTTAAATGGCCTTTAATTTAAGTCTGTCCCTTGATATTTACCTATTTTCTGTGACAATAGCAAAAAAGAAAACAGACACAATAGGCCTTTGTGTGCATGTTTACAAAATTTGATAGTATTTTGCGATCTACTTCTAGGTCCTCCGAATCGAGACGTATAGGCCTATTTTGTTGAATACTAAAATTGAACTTTTGATGTTAAAAATAAATTTTTTTATTTTATGAATTAATTATAACTGGGGAGTTACGAACAAGACCGCTATCTTGATCATCGTGCATAAGAAACAGGGAACTGAATCTCAAGTATTTTGCATGCAAGTGATGAAAGTCTCCAAAGGCCATGTAGTGGGTGAATTGGAACCATCCATTTTTATGCGGGGTATAAATAATGTTTTTACTATGATTAATATAAGCTGCAAATTTTATACGCAATTTTCCCCCCCGAAGTTTGGGGTGCGGCCTATATACCAGTCATTAACCTACTCTCAAAACGTTCAGATCGCAAGCCGCGGCGAAAATCATGCGCCGTCTGTCTAGGTTAGGTCCATGCTAGCCAAATTAATTAGCCTAGGGTAGGACCAGTTTGTAGGCCTAGTATTTGTAATTACACTCACTACAGTGCTGTACTAGGATTCCTACCACATTTTCTACAACATTCAAGCAATGGTTTGGGTTGTCTAAATAATTATTTTCATAATTACGTTCACTCATAAACAATTTTGGAACACGCTATTTCTGTTCGGAACCGCTTCGCTAAAAAAAATAAACTACTTTTCGGGAGTTTGGTCCTCGAGGTCATGTGAGCAGCTTCATTTAGGACAAGTCGCAACAAAACACACACGGACTGGTGAAACTTGCTGTTCGACGTCTGGTTCCCGGTGGCTTATACAGTTATAGAGAGAATATTGATACCGCTATACTTTTAGAATAAAAACTTGTGAAATTAAGTTTTCTTGAAGTTGTAATAATTATTTTACTGGAATTTAAATGTAGAAAGGCATACATCATCTGTGCATGCGTAAACTTTCCAGTTATGTTTTTGTTTACAAAACGTGGTGCGTGATGGTGCATGCTTCGCACAGAGGGTTGTGAGTAGTAATGACTTAGGCCTAGAATTACCAATATTTTTAGCCTAATACCGACTGTTATTAGTCATAATAATAGAATGATTGTTTAAAATAAATAAATATACTCAATTGTATTTTTATTTTATTACATTTGACTAAAACTTAAACTAAACTGATTATACAAATTTAAAGTAGCACGACCATCTGGCAAGAAATAGGGATTTCCCTAGAGCTACCTATAGCAAGAATACATTGTTTCATTGCGGTAGCCAGAAGTTTACACGCATTTCCAGTTGTTTGTTGTTTAATGATCAGCCGAAAAAGATGACTTTCTTTATGTGAACATTTGTAAATAATGTCAATGTTTAAAAATAATTAAAAACTTAACATTATTGGAACAGTTTGGACCGTAAAAAGGCTTATACACAGGTGACACAAAAAATTGTGATATTTTGCATCCACGGGGGGGGGGGGGGGGGGGCGGCTTATACACAGGTGCGGCTTATGCACCAGAATATACGGTAAGCGAAATTCTAACTGGGTAGACAATGGTTTAGCCTTTTCAGAATTTAGCTTTAGTTTAATGCAAAATTTGATAGATTATAAACAAAATTTCAAAACATTTCGTTTCCAGGTAAATCAAAGAGCGCTATATTTTGCTCTCCTTAGATTGTTTTGAGAAACGCAAAGGAGCGCTGGTGCGATCGCACCCCTTTAAATGAAGGTCTGATACTCAATAAACAGTGAACATTTTGCCAAATTAAACAACTAGTATCTCTGAATTAACTGAAATTTTGTATTCGCCAATGAACAATGACGTTATCTAACGAAATTGGGGTTTTAGGTTCAGGTTTCACTATACTATCTATTATTAAGTTTCAATACACACAAGCAAGATCCTATTACTTTATAAAATCCAACAATTGACCACTGATGGCTTAAACAAAAAGATTGATTGACAAGTAAAATGATATATATCATTTGAATGATGAGTTGTGTCACACAATTAATCACTTGGATATATAAACAGACTTTTGATATTATTCACTGCATATTTGATGTCATGATGATGTACATTTATCAATGTAAATTGTATGTATCTTCATTAGGATAATACAAATCTGCATTATATATAAATTTAATTATGCTAAATGCCTTAACATTATTCAGTATATATCTAGGCATTTCTTTCAACATTATTGTTTGTTTACAATTTAACTTCCATTATTAAATCCTTTTGAAAATACCGTAGTTCACTGTTTAGCATTAAAATGTTAAAAAAACAAACCAATAAAGTTTTGTTTAAAGAATAAATCTGCATTATATATAAATTTAATTATGCTAAATGCCTTAACATTATTCAGTACTGTATATATCTAGGCATTTCTTTCAACATTATTGTTTGTTTACAATTTAACTTCTATTAATAAATCCTTTTGAAAATACCGTAGTTCACTGTTTAGCATTAAAATGTTAAAAAAACAAACCAATAAAGTTTTGTTTAAAGAATAAATGTAATTAGCATTGGAAATAACTCATAATCAATAAACTTCAACTTGAGAGTGCAAAACAACTGAACAAGGATAACAATGCACCATCTCAATCAGCAAGAATTACCCAATCATGATTTCCTCTTTAAAAGACAAACCATCAATCCATGCAATACAAGTGCTGTAAACTAGTTTACTAGAGCAATTGATTCATGTCAGTCATGCTGTAAGCAGAGGAAGATTTTTGGGGAAATTTTTGGAAAGTAAAAAAATAAATAAAGAAAAAAAGAAATTATTGATCGCTCAAAATGCCTGAGGTTATTTTGGGTGACTAGAAAACAAAAATTTCCCAGACCCCACCGAGTAGTGTTTCTTCTCTATTGCGCCCACCCCCCACCTTGGACATCTGTGAATCCGCCTTTGATAAGGGCAATACTCTTAAACATTGTTCAACTAACAAGTTAAATAATCATCTTACCGTATTTCTAGAATCCAAATTAGACCCCTCGTTGGTCTGGTCGGAAGTCATGGGCTGAGTAAGCGCAGATTTCAGTTCCAATTCACCAGCCGATTTACAATCCAACGGTTTGTCTGGTGGCGAGAGTATGACTGTCCAAAAAGCTTGTGGGGGAAAATTCAACATTTTGTCAATAAATACTTTAAAGTATCCCAAATAGATGTTACGTATCCTTTGATAGAAATCTCTTTGATTTTAACAGATATGTACATATACATACAAATGATTTGTATTATTGCATGAAAAAATAATTGGTAGAAAAAATAATTTTTTTCTTGTTATAAATATTTCCAAAGATGAGAATATGCAAGATCCATAATCCATATGAAATGAACTAAGAGAGGATAAATGTTTCGTCCACAGACAAATCAGCCTCCTTATAGTTCACCTGTAGTGTAACATCCATTCCAGGCGACCGCTTACAATAACTTCCTCGCTGTCCGAAAATAATCCCACAAAAAAGTCCATAATACAATGTAGAAAGCAGAAACAGATATTGAATCAATTATCAATTATATGAAAGAAACCATAAACTAATGAAACATGATAGTAGAATTCAATTATTATACAATCCCTCCTAGTTGAGCATAGCAAAAAGGCACCGCTTGGCTATTAAATGCAATCTGAATCACACGGCAATTCTAGCTTCACTTCACAATGTTAATCAGATGATACAGTGATAATATTGTTGGATAATGCCTAAGTAGAGTGGCACACACACATGCACTCCAGACCGCTACGCTGTGTAAATAATTAATAATGATAGTTTCCTATGGAATTGGACTTTTCAGCAAAAAAACTCTAGGCTGTACAATTAGCAAGTGCGTTTTTATAATGAAGATTCTACTCATAATGAATCGTTTCTACAAAAGTCCGTGTACACTCGACAGCCGGTTGCCGTTCAATACTACCGTACTACTACACTATCATTACCGATTATCAACCAACTCCCACGCGCTGCCTTCCCTACGTACGTATGAATTATTTTGGATTGGCGAGCTTGCAGGTTCGCTAACCATCTTCAACATTATTGTTAAACTGAAGAGGTGCACCCACCCGGGGCCTAATAATAATAAATAAATGAATAAAATCCTTCCACAAAACGCGCTACCGACCACCTAAGTTGACCACAACGAATTTTATTTCTCAATGCACTCATAATATATTTTTGTTCATATTATATATTCTACTCATATAAATTAATGAAACCACACGTGATGCTAATCGGAAAATGGCGGCCATACTCAATATTATAGTGCTGAGGACATAGCAGCTGTAACCAGACAAGTGAGCAAAGAAGGGCGTATACTCACTTTCAAGTGTTGATTGATGAACCCCGTCGACTATCTATATCTTTAGAATGCACCAGAAAAAATGTTGAGTTTCCAATTAAAATAAGGCACAAAAAATAGATATTCTAAAGTCCTATTTAGGGAATAAAGTACAGATTTTAAAAACCTATACCTGTTTCCTTCCTGGTTATTTAGGCCGCATGCATTCAAGGCTTGCGCGCATGCGTGTTCACATGGAGATATTTTTGGAATTTGGCTTATTGTTGTTTGACAAAATATCAGATCTCTCTGTTGATTAAAAAATGTAAAAAATATGTTTAATTCTTTTTACGGTATGTCGTTCTTCCAAGCACTAAAATATTGTTAATTTATTCGACAAAGTATAAGATAAACTGACAACATGTACGATATTTTTATCTTCACCTTCTTTCTAGCGACCGATCCCGTTTTCGTATCACTTTTCTTAACAGGAGAGGGAGCTATTCATATTATAGTTAATTGCAAGGCAATTGCCATGCCTTGATTCATGATTAATTTTTATGTTCATGTTGCTTTTATTCAAATTCATATTGAAATAGATAAACATAAATAATAATGATAATAATAATAATGATGATGATGATCATGATCATGAATAATGATAATGATGATAATAATAATAATAATAATAATAATAATAATAATAATAATAATAATAATAATAATAATAATAATAATAATAATAATAATAATAATAATAATAGATATAAACTTTGTAAAAAGGGACACATTAAAATCAGTTTGGATTTTTTATATACAGATATTTCTAAATTACAGTATTTCATTAAAGAAAGCTCTTTAGCAAGTAATATTTAAAAAAAAAAGAGATAAGATGATCGCCAAAAGCTTATCATAAAAAAGATAAATAACTATATTGACTTGCCACAACGAGAATTAATAAATTTTATGGATATCATTTCTGTATTTATTATTTAGTTCCATATTCAGTACTTCAGTGTGCGTTACATGGTTGTGTCATAGCTCAGATATGAAAATGTGGAACGACAAAACAATCTGGGAACCAGTCGCGGCACTGTTATAGCGGGGAGGCAGAGAGCTTATATCCCCGGAAGCCAGGCCATAACTCCCCGACCCCGTCGAACAGACAAGAAGAAGGAAAACATTATATTTCTTTGGCATAACACGCCTTAGCTGTTTCAATAATGGTAATGGTATGTGGCGATATAAACTTGTAAGCGCATAATACGAAATCGTCCCACTTGTGCTGCTCCTCCCACACTATGGAACAATCTTCCAGCTCCACCATTACAACATTAACGCCAGGACAAACTGGAACTTACCGGTACTTGTTCCGCAAAGCGTTTCGTCGCCCTATCGCTAAAGTAAATAGACTTAATGTTTTACCGATTTAATGCAGATATCAGGTCATATTATTTTGATGAAATTTTAAATTAACTTTACCATCGCATATGTCTATAGACTAAATATTGAATTAATAATTATTTTTAATTTTCAAATTACTTGTTTGTACACTGAGATATTTGTTATACAGTATAGTATATTAGAACAATCATTGTAGTTATTGAATTTAAACAATTTAAATAATTTAGAAGAAAATAATTGTAAATAATAATTAATACTATTTTAGTGAATTGACAAACGTTCAATTAATTTTAATGATGTAAATGAATAATTTTATATATTTTTGTATTCTTTCCATAAATTTTCTTATTAATTAAAATGTATAATGTTATATTATAATATTGTATTTTATCATCTTTTTATGTAAACAGCATTGAACAAATGTAAATTTGTGCGCTATTACATAAATATATTATCATTTTATTATTATTAATTGCCCATTTTTTCTACAGGCGAGAGGGATATCCCCTGGCCCCAACCTGCTGGTTTCCATCAGTTCAGACCCTTATCACAACTTAGCTTCCCCTTCTCCCACACCGCGCCGTCGGACAAAACCATGGCTCGTGAGTTTGGAACATTAATACAAAATTATTAAAGTAATGCATTTTATTGTTATTAAGACCGTCAACGTCATGATTAACAAATTCTTCATTTAAACTTCTCTAACGTGTCTTATGTCTCGGCTAATTGCCATTTATTTTATCCACGATGAATTAAATGTAAATTGTATTTCTGAATAACGAGTTGTCGATAAAATGCAGCAATATTGTATGATTTATCCCCACCCTGTTTCTTGGCAAAATAGCAGTTTCTCATAGCCATAGTGACATAAAAAAAAACCCCGTTACTACAGAAGCAGACGCTTCATTTGTCTAAACTATAAATGATGCAATTAATTTTATAACTATACCACAGGTAAAAAAAACAACAATAATGTCAGTGTGTGGGTATTTATAACGTGCTTGATTGACGTGTTGACAATGATATAAGTAGGCCTAAATGAGATAGTTGTGTATTTCTGTAGGAATGCGTCGGATGGCCTAGATTGTTGGTTGTCGTTCATATTCGAACAAGATCTCTCCTTGATATCTTATCAAAATTCTCTGTCAGATTTTAATGCACCATCACATGGAAAGGCTAGTACTGTAGGTGAATTCATATGGTATCCGAACCAAAATATTTAATTTCGGACTGCGTTTCTGATGCGCTGAACTGCAGCATCCCTATTCTTATAATATACCGTACTGATTGGTTCTCGATAGGCTTTCCTATCTAGTTTGGATTCAGAGTAAATGTATCTTAACGATATGTTGGTCATCAAAATAAAATAAAGCAAAACCCATACGTCATAATGTTTCCGTCGCATCCGTCAAACAGGACGAATCCAGTTGTAGGCTGTCATGGTTCTAGACTAGTTCCCCGGACATTCCTCTCCCCACACCCCGGATACTTGAAAGCCTTTTCACTACCTTAATTTAAGTAAAGCCCTCTTACTTACGTTTGTGTACTACGGGCTATCATACCAGGATTCAATAATTTTATCTAAATGATGGTATTATTATTATTATTTTAATCTTCCTCATGTATAACGTACAATCATGTGGGCTAATATAAACATTTCAAATAATAGACTGTAGACAAAAGAGAAAATTCTTTTTTGTTTGTTCTTTCTTTATTCAATTTATAGTGATTCACAAAAACATCAGACACAGATAAAAAAAAATTAAGCAAAAGGACAGGTTATTATTAATGTTTTTTTTTTTCAAAAAGGCCCCGGGTTTAATTTCGAATATGAGCTCAGACGGGATAACTCAAAAATTCGTCTACACAACTTGTAGAAGTCTCATTTTCCCCAGTGGTTCAACTTGTAGTTTGTTTTGCCAACATATTATATGTGTGTGTTGTTAAATCCTGGATACGCCACTTGTTGAAAACAATATTTAAGCCAAATATATTTTCAATCGTTTTGTTGTTCATGTGAATGTCTGATAGGTTATTACTATAAAACAATGCTAAAAATACACAGTGTCAATGGCAACATAACCTAACATGTACCGTGATTGAGCTGAGCGACTCCAAATTAGTGGTTACGTAACTTTGTCATGCACTAATCATGCTATAGAAATGGAAGACATTAATGTAATGGGAATGGTAGGAGGCTATAGTAAAATTAGTGGAAAAAGTGTAAGATATAGGCTAGTGTGGATTTAATCAATGTCATAATGGTAATATTCAAAGTAAGTGTCAAGGAAAGTTAGTAGGCCTATAGTTGTTGGAAATGGTCAACATTTTATTTTTATTTCTCACGCTGACCTCCGCCTGGGCGAAGGTCTGGATCCGCGCCTGCTCTTAGTCTCGGCAAAATGTCCTAAAGCCATAGTGACATAAAAAAAATGTTATTACAGAAAAAATGATGCAATTAATTTGATGAACTACCAAATATAAAAACAATAACGTCAGTGTGTATTTGCAGAACTGACTTATGTTGACAATGATATACGGTAGTAGGCCTACAGTATAGTTCTGTGTGAAGTATGCGACGGATGGCCTAGATCGTTGGTTGTCGTTCCTTTTAGAACAAGAACTCTCCTTCATCATCAAAATTTCTCTGTCGGATCACATGGAAAGGCTATAGTAGTATTGAATTCACATCCACATCGGATTCGAACCACATCTCGGACTGCGTTTCTGATGCGCTGAACAATACAGCGTCCCTATTCTTACATACTGATCCGATTTTATGATCGGTTCGGTAGGCATTTATTCTTCAGGAGGCTTTAATAATTTCATCAAATTATTATTATTATTATTATTATTTTATTCTTCCTCACTTGGCTGATGTAAACATTTACCTTCGTTTCAAATATTTGGAGCGTAGACAAAAAAAGCGAAAACCTATTACAGTAATAGGTCCATGTCACTGAATTGCTTTGTGCCTTCAACTTCTTGAATTGTTTGAGATTATTAGAGCGCCCTCTTCAATTTGGAAGTACTGTATGTTATGTAATAATTATACCTCCATAATGTAATGTAGGTGACGTCTGATGGCTTCTAATGACCTATTTTCCACCACACTCCCTCCCATCCTGTACCAGGCGAAATATGATTTCCAATGCAGTCAAGTTATGTACAAATTAAAAACTGTATTGCTTTTAACACTGGATGTGTTTATGTGTACTGTAGAATTCAAAAATATAATGCATAGACATAAATCACCTAATGAAACTTTCCGAAACTCGGCAAACTACAAACCGACCAATCCGAACGGGATAGGAACATGCACACATCCCTCCCACACACACATTACATATCTTTACGCAACAATATAGGGGCGGGGATTAGTGTAAAGGTCAATTATGCAAAATCCACTTAAATCAAGTAGTTCCATCATGGAGGAATTAGTTTATGGTTTCATTAATATGTATTAGTGGTAGCACTGACACCACTAGCAGTAGCAGTGACGGATCCAGAAATGTCCAAAAGGGGGGGGGGCCCCGGAAGGGGGGAGCCGATTGAGACAACACTGTCGTAGGGGGTCCGGGCATGCCCCCGCGAAATTTTTGTGTTCTAGACGCCCGAACATAACATTTGAGGCATTCTGGGCTATCATTTTTTTCTTTTTCTCTCTTTTTTTCTTCTTTTTTTTACCTCCCAAAATGGGGCCCGGGCCGTACCCCTAAATCCGCCCCTGGACAGGGGAGTAGTCTGATTTCACCCCCGGGGGGGGATGGAAATGTGGGGTGTGAAAAATGAGAATGAAGAACTGAATCCCTATTCCAATGAAAACTCAATGGTAATTTTTAGTTTATCCACCCACCCCCTAGCCTATGCCCATGGTTGATCTATTGGTAAGGCCCACTCCTACAGTACATTTGTGACTGCAGTCTAGGACTTCATTACATTTATACAAAATCAGCAGAATTGGATCTGTTATATAATGATTGAATTCAATTGAGCGAGTGAGTGAACAAATCTGCAACATAAATTTGAAGGTTAAATCATACAAATAGAAAAACTTTATTAAAATCACAACTTCGACAGCAATGAATTTCAATATTAATCACTAAAAACAAAACTTTTCAGTCAATAATTACATTGGGTATAAGGAGAATATATAGAGTTATATAGTATTGTTATTGTTAACCCCCTTATGTTGTCTATAATTTACAGCATTACAAATGAATACACAGGTTCCAGATACATTGCTGCTAATATTGGCATTTTCAACAATGCAAATGGAAGACAATAATTGTTCCAGATTGTTCATTATTGGGATCCATAATCACTGAATTGTTTACATCTTCAGGCCAACCCACAACTACATGTTTTTCGCAGCTTGTACAATCTAGCATCCGGGTCTTTCAATGCTAACAATTACACAGAAATAAATACTAACTAATCTTTCACCTAACACCTTCACCGAGCCATTGATTATATTTATGTTGCATGTTATAATTCTTGCATTCCATGATAAATTAGATATTTAGCATTACAGTCAACGTAAAGCACAAACGCCACTAAGTATATTTTCTTCTTGGATATTAATTACTATGTGAACTAAACAAAGAAGTATGTGGTCAAAATAATTCATCTTTTGGTTTAGAAACCATGCACTTTCAGCTGTTCTTTTTTCGCCAATTTAATATCGCTAAAGAATTGGCAAACATTGTTGCGCTGGTCACCTTGCAACTGCAACACCTCTCCATGTTCAGGGTGTTGCACTACAGTCCCATTGCAAGCAAACACCTGTTGAAAGAAACCACAAAAGAACTGTCAGTTTATTTGAGTCTTTTTTCAATATTATGGGGGTCATGCTGTTAATCGGCGCATGGTGACTCTACTACGACTGTTCCATTCAGCTAATTACAGCAACTAGAATTCATTATACAGGATTATTCACTAAAGGAAGCTATATAACACTATGTGATTGTAGTATTTGATAAATAATAATAATAAATGATAATTACTTTTTAATAAATCTTTCATTGTGTGTTGATCTTTGATTCAATTGTAAATAGCATTTTGTATAGGATTTTCCGCATTTCTATTTCTCTTTTTGATGTTCTTAATATTATGTCTTCATGACTTGGCATAGTTTTTCAAATAATTAATTCTTAAAAAGCATTGAATGAACCTAATGCTTTGGTTATACATAATTCAATTGTTCAACAAACTAAAAACTGTTAGCACCTCAATTTAAAAAAAAATATAGCAACATCAGGAGAAAAATAGAATATTTTCTACCTTTTTAAGGGCTTTCACTATTTTTTTCTTGTCATAATCTGGAGAAATCCCAGCAACAGTGGTCAATGTCTTCCGGCCATTTCGCTGCTGGATTCTACAAAAGATTAAATCATGGTTACTGTAGTTCCTCAAGTATAAGCCCACCACTACTTTATGCCCACTTTTATGTACCAGTCTCTCCTCGGCCAAAAGCCCGGGCGGCGATGGCGCCAGAAATTTGGTGACAAGGGGTCCCAACCAAGGGCCGACAAGAGCCTCTGTCGATGGCCCGGAATAAAAAACCCCTAATAGTGTTCGCAGGGAAAGTTTTTATGGTTTAGTACAGTCCAAGAATGTGCTTTTAGACCACAATATTAGGGATTGGCAATCAAAATAATGTTATTTGGATAGGCAAATTATTATTCTTTCTATTTTCGATCCGACGATGCGTCAGACGACGGGGGTCCCGGCCTGTCCAATGGGGGGAAATTCCCGCTTCCCTCCGCTGGTGCGACCACCAAGCCCAGGGTATGATTGGAATGAATAGCTTAGCTGACTTTTACAAATACTCTATAAAAAATAAATTGGCTTTGAGTTAGGCTTGTTGCAGTATTCAAAAATTGCCTTTTGATTGAAAGTTACTTCATACCAAATCTAATTTCATAATTCATAATTGTGGGAATTTGTTGGTGCAACTGTTGTACCTTGTATCCTTGGGCAAGGCACTTACCTACAGTACATTGGCCTCTCTGTCCCCACCCCCAAACTGTTAAGTTGTACCAGCCAAATATACTTTTGCAAGAAATGGCAAAATTCGGATATCAAGTAAGTACCCAAAAGTAGGCCTTTAAATAGGTACTGTATCTGGTAGGATGTTGTGGAACTGAACATTACTGTTAGTCCGTATGTGTGAAAATTACAGCATGATATGCTCAAAATTGTCCACGCCTTGCCCTTGTATCCCTAGTGAACAGGTGCGGTATAAATTCCTATATTATTATAAAGTCTTGGCGGGATGTTGTGAAGGGCAAACCGCTGCAGATTAAACCTCAATCCAAAAGTTGATCGCACCACCTTGTGTCACAGGATACACCCACCTTACAGCTAACTGTACAGCCTTTCAACAGTCTAAACCTTGAGAGTGGGAAAACTGACTCTTAAAGATGATGATGATAATGACTTTTTAAGCTTTGTTTATAAAGCATCACATTATTAATTTATTATAGAGGGCCCCTAAATATAAGTATACCTTAAAATAGAATAGAAGTGTTTAATAAGGAGTTTCTAAGTATCCATTCAAAGTCATTAAACTACATTAGATTGGACAAAATGCAAAGACTTATCAAATGTACCTTATGTGGATTGTTGTATCTTGATTGCCTTGCTTACTTGAAGCATCTGAAAATGGATCTGGAAAAAAAAAAAACATCCTATAAATTTAAGGTATAAACATTTTAGCAAACCATGGGTTTTTATTTAGTTTTTCTTCAACAATATTTTGTGAGGGTGGTCCATCCAGCCAAAGCTCATCAATTGGGACCATTAGTACATAAAAAAAAACACAAAAAAAAAGTATAAAATTAAACTAGATCTTTTAAAATTAGCCTTATTTTCAAAATGAGTATAAATATCTTAAACGCAGACTTTATACTGTACATTATCTTGCACAGGGTCCCACAGTAAGCCCTACAGTACATTTGAGTAAGCAGTACATTTCACTATGATTTAACTTTCTGTTATTATTTTTTCATTTGAAGAATGTAAGTGTTGTATGAGAATGCATCATTAAGTAAGAATGTGTACCACAGATAAAAAGTTGTTTGTTCAATTAAATAATTTCTCTGCAAAACATTTGTAATATTACAATGCTCTTGACTCTCTAGCTCGGCCTCAGAAATTATAAATAAGGGCTTAATAATATTTATAGTTATATAATCATCATATATTAAATAAATGACAAGGTACTGTACAACTGTATACCTATTTAATTGTTATTAACAGTAACTGTTGTCTCTCTGATAGAAAATAATAAATTTGTCAATGCCTCTTAAAAAACAATCCACAAATCCTTTAAAACTAATCAAACAAATATTTATTGATAGTACTGTAAAACCAACGAACAGAAACAACAATAATCAAATGTCAACTTGGTAATCAATCCAAGAAAAGACAATACTGTATACAAAAAATATACATACTGTACGCATGTCTAAATACGATTACGCGCACCTCCATGGCAAACACAATGAATCACATGCGCTTCTAATAATTACGCGCATCTCTATGGCAATGCGGCGTCTACAGTAACAACATTAATATCAATCAACTACAGTACTGTACAGTACACAAAATATCTGATGTTTTATGAATAAACTATATAGGCCCTAAATATAGAATAACGATGTTCTTAAAATTAAATAAAATATTTTGCTAATGTTATGTAGTGCCAAGTGGATTTAGTCACCATTTGACATTTACTAGGCTAGGCTAAGTTAGCATACTAAATTGTATTATTGTATAGCCAAGACTAGCCATCCTCTACTACTAGGCCTGTCTAAAGGTTTCTACTCTATCTACTTTAAAAAATAAAAACGAACAATAAATATTATTAATAAATTATTAATATAGAAGTAAGATTGGTAATGCCAATGATACGATAGACCTACTGTACTCTTCTATGCTTTTGCATCATTTTGAGGTCTAACAATTGAAGCAAATCAAGAAGGTATTACATAGACTATCTTGAGTAAACGTAGTCGTTCGTAGGCCTATCTCATGGGCCGCCTACTGTCTGTACAGCAGTAACACAAAGAGAAACTAGACATATAGGCCTAGCTACGGCTAGGGCCTAGTCACAATCGGATGATTATTTTTATAAATTTTACTAACCAATTACGTTCAAATTTTGAATATTCATTCAGCAAAGTAGTGTTTCTCTCTGAACTCTTTAAAAAATATGGCTTATGACAGCGCGATTCCTTTGGATTTAAAAGGATACTATCTGCTTCTTTCAGAAAAACAACAACGCCACAATTCCTTGTAAATGATGTCACAACAACCAAATGCGACGATGATGATGACTGATGATTAACCCAGGAAGTACACGCGTACTACCGATGACGTCATTTCTATTTCGTTTCCTATTGCTAGAGGGCGCCCTCTTTTATTTCGCCAATCATCATCGTGGTAAGCCGGCTGTGTGGTCCACAGCAAAGAACACGCCGCGCGAGAACTGAGGATCGGAAGAGGTGATAGGTACGTTGGAGGAGGCTAGAATATATTTTGTCTGATTAAATTAATAAACAGCTTTTACCTGCCTGTACACGTGACCTCCTGCATTGGTCACTAGAGCCAAGCCTAGCGGCTAGGCTAGAGGGCTTAGGCCTAGTAGTAGTAGGCCTTGCTAGCTAGCTAGCCTGGCTGGCCCAGTGTGGCTTCTGCCCTAGCTAGCCTCTCTCTAGCTAGCCTAGGCCTGTCCACTCAACTACTAGGCTAGTGTATGTAGTAGTAACTACTGCGGTATAGGCCAAAGACTGTATCGGCATGGTGGCACTAATGTTGGTGCTGTGCACAGTTTCAGTCGTTTATCCTTGTACAGTTTGCAAAGAAACTGTCCAACAAAGAATCTTGCAAAATTTAAAACTGCAAGGATTTCTTTGCACAATTTAAAAACTGCAAGATTCTGCACTTACACTTTGCAAATTGTGCAGAGATTGTTGCACAGTTTAAAAATGCATAGAATTTGCAAACTTCAGGGGTAGCTTGTGCACATTTTAATCAATTTTCGCTTTTTGATACTACAGTATTTCACTACTGTATTTCATTCTTTTCTTGATATGTAGCTGTGTGCTTAGTGCTTATCATCGTTGGGGTCGTGTGGATATGCGTGGATCGTGTTGTGCAGAGAGATGGGAGATGGTGGGTGTGTCAGGTGAGGAGATGGTGATGCATTGGGTGATGACATTTATGTTTTTTGGGGGTCTTTTTTAACTTTTAATATCATGATGATGACTTTACATTGAGTTGAGGTTTATTTATTCAAATTTCTAGTAAAATGCATACATTGCAGCAAATTACTGAATTGCATATGAATTAACAAAAGTAAAAAATGTAATATACTGTAAAGAAAAATACAGAAATATACATAAAAAGTTTAAGAAAAAAATAAAAAATCGGTCAGAGGCAAATGATACATCACAATGCGAGACTTTAGGCCTAGGCCCTAATTAATACATATAAACGATATAGTACTTTCATTTCCATTATAAAAATCTATGACAATTAATTGTGCTTACATTTTTTGTTTTGACCTTGTACTATTTTAATCTGCATTTATTTGTCAACTTATCAATCCTGAAAGCGGCCCATTAGCAGGCGAGGTCGGACCTAGGTTAGGCCCGATGAAAATATCAGGAATAACAAACCATGTTCTATTTTTATTTGTAATTTGTGTAAAAAGTTCATGCAATGCATTATAACTATAGTACTGTATTTAGTATAATGTGTGTTGACATATTTACATATTGTTGACATATACATGTGAAATATTCATTTTGAGTGATCCAAGGAAAGAATTTGTATTGGCTAGCAAGAACACTAACACTGTGTACAAAGGGAGGGTAGGTCCCTACGAAAGTTAAAAACAATCCATAGTAAAGATATTACAGTTGACGTATTGACTATACATTTTCATCCACTACCACGGAATAACACAACAACGTTTTTAAAATTGAAATACTATGGGTATATAATTTCTGTCAATTAACTTCACCATTATTCTGTATAGGAACATTAATGCATGCCACTGTTTTAGAAGTGGTAAATCCTTATGCACAATTTTTATTTTTTTCCATGACAGCTACTGTACAGTAGCATGTCCACATATCATTGCAAATATTTCAGTTGCTTAAAATATCGAAATATGTTGAATCATAATCTAATAATTAATATCAATATCAATAAATAAATTTCAATGTCACATTTTTTGACAATTGATGAAAGAATCCTTGCGCAGTTTGCATGCCGTGTTCATAGTTTGAAACAGCATCTGTGATTCAAAATGAGCAAAAAGACAAACTGCGCACAACACACTCTCAAGCCAGCAACATCACTGTCAGACTTGGCAGCTGTGAGTCAGAGGTCCCACCAGCAATTCCAGGAGAGTTTGTCCATCATTCCCAGACAAATGGGCCAGGCCAACCATGATGGTTGAGGTTGAGGCTGAGGCCAAAAATGGTTAATATCACCTTTCTAGATGCACTAGAGAATAGCACTTTCAGGTGCACTGTCTCTTGCTTAAAAAATTGTTCTAATAAATTTTTCCAAGACTATGACGGCTGGGCCTGGCAGCTGCCCCACTTGCTGGCGCCACCCCTGTGTACAGTATGTACTACTAGCACAGATTTTCACTTAAAAAAATTAAAAGTTGAAATTCCTAGGACATAGCAGAACTTCCCAAAAAAATAAAAATACTACTGTAATGTAATTTTATATAAAAATAACAATAAAATGAATGACAATTTACAATATGTTAACAGGAATTTGATGGAAGGCATGGCTGAGTTTTCCTGCTTACAATCACCTTCATTTGTGGTTGACATAAATAAAGTGAAACAGAATGCTCAACAAATGTTGGAAAGATGCCAAGAACTTGGTGTTAACCTCCGACCTCATACAAAAACCCATAAAACACTGTGAGTATTTGCTACTATCAGTTTGAAAATGTTTTGTGATCAATTCCAATCTTTTGTAAAGCAATGGGAGTGGGGAGCATTACCACAATTTTTACTGTCAAATTTTGTATTCTGAAAATGCATCAGTGTTTGTGCAGAATCTGCTACACTTAATAAAAGAAAAGACATGTTAAATGCTGTTGAGATTTAGGTTCAATTGACTTAAGGAAAGGATGACCACATTTCTGTCAAAAAAATAAAGATTGATCTAGAAGATGATTCAATATTCACTTTATTTGTCCACTGTATAGAATAGGTCAAGTGTTTTTCTTGAAGAACAACACCAGAGGAGTTATGCACTAATTTTCTCTTAAAGACAAGCAGCTGAGATCTCGACTGGCAAACGAAAGCAAGGGCTTGTTGTATCGACGATTGCAGAAGCTAAATACTTCATCAATGGTGGTTTTACTGACATCATATTTGCCCAGCCACCAAGCCTGACAAAAGTACAGGTGTGTGCTGCCCTCGTCGAAAGTGTCTCAGAGTTCCATATGCTTATTGATAACGTGCAGCATTTGTATATGCTTGAAGATACAAAGTTATTGAATGGGAAGCATTGGTCAGTTTTTCTTGATTTGGATTGTGGATATGGTAGGAGTAAGTAATTCAGAATTTTGGTAATAACAATAAATAGCATAAATACCATACTCGCGCAAATAAGTGCCTGGGTGCTTAAATAATTTTTTTGCACTTTTTAAGGGGCGCTTATGAAAACATAGTGGAAATTGAAGGGGCGCTTATGGAAATAGATGAAAATTGATGGGGTTCTTACGGGTAATTGAAAAATTCAAGGGGCGCTTTTTGAATTAAAAAAAGATTTTTGAAAAATTTTGAAATTTGAAAGGACATCTGGAAACGGGAGATAAACGAATGGTTCTGGTGCAGAAAAGATAATCGTCCAGAGAGTATGACAAGAATTCTGTGACTGAGTAAATATTTACACAACACCAGTTAAGATTAAATTGGTGGTGGAGGTGTGGTAAGCTTGTTGGCCATCTGCCGAATGAGATTATCAGTATCATTGCAGGGTTCCTTGGAAACTCAGATGAGAACGTGCAAATTGTTGGAAAAAGAAAAATAGAAGTAGGACTAAACAAATGTAAAAAGAGGAAAGTTGGAAAGATACTGTCCAGGGAGCTCTCATCTGTCCAGGAAAAATATCCTCATCTTAAAATTGACTTAAGAAGAAAATGTGAATCCACACTGCAGGGAAAATCATGCCAACCACCGTCCCAGGATTGATTGGATTACTGTATTGGCTTGCTAAAAAAGAAAAAAAAATTACATGATATTGTTAAGGGGCGCTTATTCAAAATTGAAGGCCACTTATTCAAATTAGGAGGGGTGCTTATTCAAATCAGGCGCTTGTTCATGCAATACGGTACAGTGGTGGCTCCAGAAATTTGCTGACAGGGGTCCAACCAAGGGGTCAGGGGTCAGGGACCCAGAATAAAAATTCCCTGGCACCACCACTGCATAAATATTGTACTGTTATATTCTGGAGCATCCACATGATAATGCTCTAAGCAGGGTATAAGCATATAGAATATGTAATAGTAAATAAGCGAGCTATGAAGTATATATATATTATATTTTTTTTTTAGCTGGAGCAAAATGGGATGTGGTTGGAACGTTAGAATTAGCTCGTTTGATCCACCAGTCAGAATCGGTAGATTTTTCTGGAGTTTACGTTCATGAAGGCAATTCATACTGCCAAGGGTCTGCTAATGAGGTCACAAATATCTCTGAATTGACAACCTCAAGATTACTCGAGTTTACAGACAAGTAAGCAATTTTGGTAAACCTTTTACATCTTCTTTGAACTCATGTTAGAGTGCTCTTTAGCTTGCAAAAAAGTGTACAGATGTTGGGTAAATGGTGAACAACTTTTTTTTCTTCCTTAGGAGTGGGGGTCATTTATGAGAATTACTGTATATAATTTTCATGCTAATATTATTGTTGGCTTTTAATTTGCTCAAAAGATGGGGATGGTGAAACTTGCGTTATTTATACAGGAGTTTCCTTCATTCTGCACCCGCTACTGCAAATATCTAGTCCTGCCCCCAGTACATCACAACCCCATAGTGAAATGGACTGACTTTGGAAAGTTTGTGTTAGACAATTGTTGTAGAAAATTATTTAAAAAAAATTAGCTGTTCTTGCAGGAAACCAATAGGGTTTGTAAAATAAAATTGCTCACTTTCACATGAGTTGGACCCAAGGATTTGAGAACTGGCTAAAAGATAATCATTCCTTCTTCCAAGGTATTTTACCCATTAATGAAAGTAATTTATTGAATTTATTTGGTTTAATTGCAGGCTTGAATGTGAAGGCATTCCATGCCCTGTAAAAACAATGGGATCAACACCATCATGTAGCCTGCCAGCTCAAATAATGAGTAAAATAACAGAATTTCACCCTGGAAACTATGTATTTTATGGTAAGGACAGAATTTGATATTTTCTTGACCAAATAAATTATACAAACAATCATTATCAAAAATGGAAATATTCTATCACTAAATAACTCCCACATGGTTGGGGGGGGGGGGGCCCGAGAACCAAGTTTTGACCACTACATAGAAAATCGAGGTGAGGTGATAAAATTTGTTTTCCTCACAAAAATTTGATATTTAATATCTTGTGGGGGAATAGCAGAGAAAGTTTATTTTGTGTTCCCCACTCCCTCTTTCCCCATCTCCTCCTGCGCTTGCCCCCCCCTCCCTGGTATGCAAATGGATGCTTCATGCTTCCACTCATTTATTTTCTCCATTCTAAAAGAAAGTCTCATTCTGCTAAGATTTGATGCAATATTATATTGGCTCGTGTACACTTGATGATATTGCCTGCAGTGTGATAGCAAGAGTTATTGGTCACTACCCTGAAAGAGGCCATATGATAATGGATTGTGGATGGACTGCACTGGACAATCAAAGTGAAATGTCAAAGTGTGTTACTGGACATGGTTATATTGTTGGTGAGCCAAACTTAAGGTTGGTACTGTACAATCTTTTTATTTGTAGGGAAAAATGTACTGGTATTTTTTAGATTTTGACCAATGAATATTTACTATGTATATACTGTTTTGTGTATAAGGAACCAAAGGATATTTCATTGTATGTGCATTTTGTACATGTATATTAAATAAAAGTTATAAATATTGAGTATATATTTAAACATTTATAATGGTATTCAAGTATTCAAATAATATTTATTCACAAAATACAGTATACAATAAATTTGAAATGAAACCAAATTATTGTGGAAAAGGTACCCCACTGTAAGCAAGCTTTAATTGTGGGGTCCCGAACATAAGAGTGTGTCAAATCATGGAGGAAAAATACATCTTGATTCAAAAAGATGACAAAGAAAATGTTGAGAAGAAAATGAAAATGTAAAATATGCTGCATAATATACAATGTAATAAAATATATAATATAATATAGGCCTACTTTAATATAAATAAGTACAACAAAATAAGAACCTGTAATTCACATGGTGGAAGACACTAGATACGAATGTAATTTATATTTAAAAGTATTAATATTAATAATTGTTTGATAAGTGCAGTATGATGTGATGATGATGATGGTGATAGTGGCAGTGGTAATAATAATTATGTACATATTCATTCAATATGCATCTTATAATATTTTCCATTTTGTAGAATTGACTCCATGACCCAAGAGCTTGGGAAGATTTCTGCCATAGCTGGTAAACTTGATTATGAAAAGTACCCAATAGGAACTGTACTTCAGATTTACCCATGGCATGTAAGTTGTCTACAGAGGAACCATGATGAATATTACAATTAGCCTCTTGAAATGGGTTGATTTCATGACTTGGTTTCCAATTAGAGAATAATTTGAGATTTGTGTCCAGGCATTGAAGATTTTTAGTTTGTACTTGGAAGACGTGGTCTTGAATCAAGGACTTATAACTGTTATTACAGAGGTCTTGAATTGGAGGGTGACTGTATTGATTATTTAACCCCCTCAAAGGAGGTTAGATCAATGAGGCTATTGTATTTGCATTTGTTCTCCATAATGATGCATTGTTGTTGCTGTTTATTGTTGTTTTATGTTGTTTTTGCTGTTGTTCTTATTGTTGATATTAGTGCTATTATTGGTGTAGTTGACAGTGTTGTAGTAATTAGTGGTGATAGTAAGAGTTGTTTGGCTGTATACTTAATATATGTTTAATTTTAATTATTTAATTAGATATTTTTTTAACAATCATTCTTAATGTGTAATGTTTTAAATGTTATCAGTTTTAATTGAGGATTTTATGTATTGTAAATGCACCTATGAGCAAATGGTTTTTTTTGATATATGGCACAATATAAATGCTTTTATATCATTATTTTTGTTATTATTGTTGTTGTTATTTATTATTATTATTTTTCTTATTAAAATAATAATAATAATTATTATTATTATTATTTTAATTATTTTCTGCAGGCCTGTGCTACAGCATCTCTGCATAATGTCTACCACATTGCATCGGATGGTGTCATCATTGACAAATGGAAACCAGTCAGAGGGTGGGTGGAGTAGACTTCTCCACAGCACAACAATCTAACCATGATCTAACAAAGCCATTGATTGTAGTATTGAATATTGTTGGATGGTCCAATATTTTATTTTATTTTTTATTGAAATAGACAAGCCCAGAATTTTAATAGCGAACATCGCTGTCTTGTATGAAACGTGGACTTTTTTTTCATTACTAAAAATTATTTAACTGTCTATGACTTATGAAAACATTGATATTTTCTTTTTACAGTACTTTAGAATGTAGGTTATAGTTTAAGTTTGTATGTTATTGTTTCATTGTTTTAAAGTACTATATACATTTTTTCATTATTATAATTTAAATATACTTAATTGTGTCCTCTCTATTTTTGAACAAGCCACTTAGGGTTTCATGAGGGTTCCTTTTTGGCACTGTTCTCAATTTTGTTAATTTTATATTGATGGCTATTTTGACAAATAAAGAATTTTTGTATCTGTATTTACTTGCTGTTGCAGTAGATCAGAAAGACATTTTTTTTCGAATACTATAATAAGAAAAGTAATTAATATGGTGTCAGTATCACCTGAATGAGTTCAACATGTACAGTTGTAGGCTGAAAATGATGAATAATTATTACTAAATGCAGGGAATTGAAGTTTAATCAGTCTCAGATCTTGTTCAAAGGTACATTCATACTGAATTGAATTATAGCTTTAACATTCTATCATCAATTACAAAATAGATTTTTATGGAGATATATAAATATTTTAAAGTAGAGAATTATTTTTTAAATCAAAGTTTGTTACATAATTCATTGATAAAATTCTGTGTTCATTGATACAATTTGAATAAAATGATTTCCTGCAATTGCAAAACCAAATTTTGATGATTTTTCCCCTTGATAAGTTTGTAGTTTTGTAGCTACAAAGTTATTTTCTCCACATTAAGAGTACTACTATACAAGCTTACAAAACAGCTGATCATCATTGACAAACAAGATTTTTCACCCGAAGTCATGTGGAAGTCGACGACCTACATGGTTGAAAGGGGCAAGACCTATAGTAGGAGGAAGGAGGGTTGGGTTATTTCCTTACCTATTCAGGGCTGGGTCCATGGGGTAAGTCCCTTTTGAAATTCTAAATTTTCATCCATGTTGTTATCTAAATGATTTTACACTTGGTTAGAGAATTTATGGCTGCTGCTAATGGGGAGAAGCGAGAACCCCTTTCACTACCCCTGATCCTCCATTGACAACAGTTATTTTGGTTAACAGAGCGAGTTAACCAAAATATCTGATACTGTATGTATTTCTGTTGGTGTCAAACACACAAATGCAGAAAATTTATGATCCAAATTTAGCTCTTTATTTCATTATTTCAATGGCGGCTGTTTGCCATAGCCATCGCCCACATATTTAAAGCACACAATCGACCTATAAATAATAGTGCTATTACAACAAATAGTTTAATTTAGAATATCATTTTCATATCTTTAGTTGGATGCATTTATATCATGCTTTGAACATTGGTTTGGGGAGGGGGTGGGGTTTGGAGTCAGAGTGGGGAAGCCTTTGGTCCCCCAGCCGTCCGATGCCACATCGAGGGCGTCGGACCAAAGATATTAACTTGCCTGTCCAAATAGCGATTTTTTTTCGATTGCCCATCCTTATATTGTGGTCAATAAGCACAAATTTTGGGCATGCTAAGCCATATAAAAAACCCCTCCATGGTCTCTCTACCGGCGATTTCTATTCCGGGATCCTGACTGAGGGTCTAATCGGCCCCTTGGTTTCCTTCAAAATATACAATTTCATTTAATTAAATTAACAACAATATAATGCTACAACACCGGAAGCAGAAAGACACCAAGAACAAGAAGGAAATGCAGGGGAGGAAGAAAGAAATGATGGGAAAAATGGTGAATTTCCTAGTAAAATATCAACTAGTTTAAAGGCGATGTCCTCTTTGTTATACAGTATTTATATGATCCGTTGTGAGAAGCTTGAAAGTAATATTTTAGTTGTTTTGTCATGTTGTCAACGAAATTGATTTTTGCTATTATGCAAATGATGTATTGCATTATATTGTCGCCGTCTGGAGCTTCAATTATTCATCATTCAGTTTCAGTTTCTTTTATCAGCATTCAAATCGCAGCCAAGACTGAATTACATGAAATTTACAAAATACATATTAAAAAAATTAACTGAGTTTAACCAAGCATTTGCACAAGGCATGAAGTAACATAAAAATACATTAACATTGGAAATATCAGATACTCACGAAAAAATATTATACGGAATTAAATCTATTATTTTATCATTATTATAAAATTTACAAAAAAAAAGAACAAGAAAAAAATGGGTACCGGTATTTTATATAATAGGCCTGCTTCTAGAAAAAAAGAGACAAGCGCCCCGTTGTTTGCCTCTATTTGGGAGTTAGGTGGTCATTAAACCACCTCTCGGTCGCCCTTTGTTTACCACTGCTTAAAGCAAAGTAATACAGGAAACGTATTATTTTACTGTCTGTTATTTTTACTGGGATTTTTTTTTCTCATTCAATTTTACAGACCATAACTAGATGTACAAATTCAAAACTCTGAAATTGCATTTTTCGGGCCTTCTTTTGTATTATTATAAAACACATCATCTAGATCTTGTAGCAATCAAACCTAACAACTGACCGTCAATCAAGATTTTCTTTTTAATAAGCATGTTCCATTAACACGAAAGCTTACGCTGGTTAATGTCGCACCCTGCAACAATATCCAAGGGAGGAGCTTAGAGAAAGATTCATTATCAATCGAATCGATTTATTGTTTAATGCTAAGTATTATGAAAACTGTGATATAGGGGCCCCTATGTTTTGATATTACAGATCTCCCTTTATTTAAATACCACTTTTGGGACCGGGGGTTTCATGGTCTTTAGCAGCTTAGGTCTCTAAGTAAAATAATAAAAATAAGACATTTGTTAATTTTGGACCACAGAAAAGTGGTCTTTAATTGGAGGTGGTCTTTATTGGGAGGGGTCTTTTTAGAGGTTGACCTGTATTTACCAGAATAATATTGTGTACGGTACATAAAGTTGATGTCTCTCAGACATGTCTCTCTTATTTTTTATATTTGAAGTCATCTTGTATACCTTGATCTAAAAGGCCTTTATATTAAATATTTATTATAATAATTATATCCATGTATTTTTAGTTTGCATTAAGTATATGAAGTCTAGATCAAACATAACCAAGCCAAACTAGTAAATATCCAATTCGGCTTTGATGATCGATAATACGCAACTCTAGACGACGAATGCAATTACATGCATAGAAACAGACAATTACTCAAAATGGAAAAAAGTCATCAGAGGCGTGACCCGCCCAATATAGGCTCACATTGACATGTCACTATGTATTGATATAGGTCTAGTATTTATAACAATTTCATTTTGTTTTAATGTTACAATGTTATGTATATTTTTTATGCAAAGGAATATATTCGATCCATAAGGCCTACCGGCAAATAACGAGCATATCATACTTGTTTCTAAACAATATGAATGAATATTGACAAATTATTTAATAGTGTCCGTATTGTCATGGAGCTATAATATTATTAGGTTCATGGTATTGTACACTTGCTGTCACACGATCGAAAAGAAAGGGTGAACGAAAATTAATTTATTGATTGTAGACATCAATAGCCTACATGTTTTTTTTTTGTTTTGTTTGGTTTAGTTTTATCTTCGGGCAATCATCCATATAACAACAAAAGACGTCAATATTAATAATATTATACAATGCTGCACAGTTCTATGTCAATAATTATCAAAATTGAATAAGAAATGTATAAGAACCATCTCCTAGCAACATCGTGGAATGGTTACAAGTTATTGGTTGATATTGAAGATAAGAATCTTCATGTTTATTAAAAGACGAAGGACGGTGTTAGGCCTACGTTATCGTTTACTTGCAGTTGAACGGGACTGATGCTGTCTGTATAAATGGATTTTAAATCTTTTTTCGTCTATCATGAAATAATGTTGCAAAAACTATAATTCCATTTTTAGTGCACCGATATAGTTTCCTATGCCTTTACACACATAGGTTAAAAGACTTGCCAAAACAGAGTTGGACAAACTGCAACAGCAGAAGCAGCGAGCAAACGCCAAAAGCCTTCAAGTCTGGATACATCTAATTCAGGTTTGACAAAAATATTGTAACTAGTATGATGGCAAAAGCACACGGATTTGTTGAAGAATTCTGTCCAGAGATCCTTCAGTGCAGACGCTGTTTGCTGCCCTACGACGACGAGCGCGTTCCAAAGTATCTACCATGCCTTCACACTTACTGCAAACAATGTTTAGAGGAGGTAAGTGCATGGAGCTACTGGTTGAACTGCCCCGACTGTGACGTCAGGCTTCATTTGCCAGATGGCAGAGTTAATGGAATACCCAACAACTTCTTTGTCGAGAACATCCAAGACTATTGGTCGATCTATGGCAAGGCAACTACGCGCGAAAATGGTTTGGTCTGCGCCGAATGTAAAAAAGGAGGTACCGCCGAGCTCTGGTGCACAATGTGTCGACAAGTGATCTGTACTGGATGTGTTGACGCACATAAAATGAGCCGCTTGTGCAACCATGGAATCTACTGGTACAAGGATCTACGATTTAAAAAACACACGCTCTTCTGTAAGAACTGCCAGACTAAAGACAATAAGGAACTTGCAGTGGCTTGGTGTTGCCAATGTATGACGTTCATCTGCAAGGCATGCATTGTTGCTCATGAACTCGCCACAATGATGAAGCATGATATACAACCGTTGACGTCTTTCAAGCCTGAAGACGGCATGCCAATGTTGAGACCTCACCTTTTCTGTGAACTTCACGAGACTATGGAACTGTCGCATTACTGCTTCGAGAAAAAATGTCAGATCCCTCTTTGCGTACTGTGCGCCTCGTCAGAGCATGCAGACAATCCACATAGTACATCAGAGCTGGAATTGAGCGCGAATGGATTTAGACATAGATTAAAGGCGTTCCTTAAAAGGGCAAGAGCGAAAGAGAGCAAATTAAATATCCTGAAAGAGAATATTGAAAAAGAGAGAAAATCGATTGCCAAGCGGGTAAGAGAATGTAAACAGAAGATCCAGGAATTTATAGAACAATGTCATGAACTTTTGGATGCCAGAGAAAAGGAGCTTCTGGATGAAGTTGACGAAAATTGTAGACAATGGAATGAGAATCTAGATGAAGAAGTTAGAGAATTTGAACATGATTTTATACAAGTGTCGACTGGTTGTGAATTCATGGACAACGCCCTTATTCATGCCAGCCACATCGACGTTGTCTTCGCGTACAATGGCCTTGAAGACCGTATTGCGGAGCTTGCGGATTGGCCAGTTTCGAATGGACCAGTGACCATCGCTGAAATTGAACTTCAAGACGTAAACCGCAAAGAATTTAGCGAAATTGTAAAATCCCTCGGAAATATTTATACTTTTAACGAACATGAGTACCCAAGCTACACAGAGGTAAAAGTTCACCATTGCTTGATTCATAGCAAGTGGGGTGTTACCATACAGACGGGAAATAAATATGGTATGTGTGAAACTGGAGGAGCTCAAGTTGATGCAACAATCCACGATCCCAGTGCCCGCCAAATCCCATGCAAAATCGTTAACAACCGCAACGGAACGTATAATGTTATATACACCCCAGATCACCTTGGACAACTAAAACTGTTTGTGCACGTCCACGGTAAACCGATATCGGAATACCCATTCCGTGTCGAAGTCGAACCGTTTTTGCTGGTTCCCATGGAATCGTTTCTAGAGCAAGAGTCTGTTGTCGAGATTCAAGTTCCAGTTTGTTTATGCGGTTACCATAGCATCAAACAATCTGATATCACACGATGCGTTGTGCGTAGTGTTTCATCTGGTGAACCGCTATCCAGTGAAATTGTCAGTGTGCCTGAGCAGACATCAAAATTCCTTGTGAAATTCACACCAAAAGTGAGCGGGCGCCATACCATTAAAGTCATTTTGAATTGCAAAATAGGTGGACAGGTAACAAAAATGGTCGAGTTCATGGTCAGTCAATGAGAATGAGCTCCCACTTGACTCTGCGTCACTAACTGCTGTCAACATGAAAACTGGACGCACGCGAGTTTCAAGTTGTAGCGTATATTAATTGATTGATGTATTCGCTCGTTACACTTTTATCATTAGTATATTACTAGGGCCTATATATATTGGCCTATAAGCATAAGTTCGTTAATTTGTCTATTAATTCGTTCAAGCAAAGCTGGCATAATATTATATGCCTAGTTTTAAAACATGGACGTGAAATCTTAATTATATTTCTACATTTTAAAACATGGATATGAAAACGCGTCTAGCGCTTTCCATAAGTCTGAATATTTAGTTTATTATATTTACAGAAGACGAGGATATTAAATCGTCTGTATGTCATATCGTATTTTAAATCAACCTATAGGCACCGATCGTAATGTCATACTATTTGTATTAGCTTTGTTGTTGTATTTGTTCTTTAATGATAAAAATCGCATGAATAATTTTCAATGCAAACGGGAATGGCTTGCTGTACGTATTTAGAATAGGCCTACTACCAGGTATATCACTTTGGTCATAGATTGATTGATGACGCAATCGTAAAAGAGGAATCTGCGAGTGTAAAAAACAGGTATATATACATATATATATATATATGAAATGAAATTCAAGGATGGTATGTTTTATCGTATATATATATATATATATATATATATATATATATATACATACATATACACTGTATATTTAACATTATATAATAAAATTCTGGAATTTTTGAGACAGTTTATATCTGCGTCTACTTTTTTCACTTTCTTGCTGAATTACTCAGTCTTAAGGTCTTGCTTTGTGATCGCACTGGTCTGTGTAAACTCATGTATAATACAGCCAAACTTCCGAACAGAAAGTAATATAAAGACGAATTTAAGAAAATTAATTTTAATAGAACCAGACATGTTTATTCGTATTCACTACATCTTTTGCTATATAATTTTATAGTCTTTCAATAAATATATGAATTTCTTCTTTATATATAGGCCTAATTGGAAATGAATGCCGAAATTCAAATTATACACTCCTTTTGTACGTTATCATTTGCTATATAATTTTATCCTTTTTTAATAAATATAATTCCATATATAATTGGAAACGGACGCCGAAATTCCAATTTACTATAACGGTATGTTTGTTAAGAATTGTCAGTACCCTGCGATTGCGCATTATTAATGTACTTTTAATGTACTGTACTTAATCTTTAGCGCTAGAAGTTTCATTAAATGAACACTGAATAGAGGGCGACAAACACTGAATAGAGGGCGACAAACACATTTTTGTTTTGTTGCCAAATAACTGTATGATTATATATCCGCTGTATTATTGTTTGCATCTGCATTGGTAACCATTTGAAATTTATTGGGAAAAATGCTATTCTTATACTGCAGGTCATATAACGACATTTCTGTTTCTGTATGTCCATAATTGCTTTTAAACAGTGGAATGTTTAGATTTATACTATTATGTTACACCTAAAACTATGTCGTCAGATCTGTTAAAGACTTTACATCAACCGTGCAAATTAAATTAGCACATGAATTGACAATCTGGTTTTTTAAATAATTTTTTGCAAACATGCTTGTGACCCCATGAAAAAATTTGGTGACCTATTTTTAGGTCGCGATCCATAGTTTGGGAAGCAAGGTTTTAAAGTACAACTACAGTAGACCAGTGACTCTTTAACATCCATGACAGTGGCCAACTGGCAAATTAAAAAAAAGACAAACAGTAATACATTTAATGACATTATTTTTGAAATTGTATTTAATCACTAGCAATACCACATTGCACCATATGTTAAATAGTACAGAATACATATTCACATTAATTGAAAAACAATAAATAATTCTGGATTTAGCATCTCACATTAAAAAAAAAAACTTTGTAAAATATATATTTAATTACTATTTACACATTGAAATCATACAAAAATCCATAATGTTATATTCTTAGAAGAACTCCAGATGAATATCACATCTAAACAAATGAATTAAAGTTGCCTGTACAAGGGCAGGAATTAAACATTGGATCGTTCTACTGGAAGAACCGTACGCAACCATTCAGACTTACTAACATTTTATACACAGAAAATGGCATGTTCTATGTGAAAAGGAGCTCTTCTATACCGGAAATTGTTCAAGTATACTTGTTAGGCGAAAATTTTTTAATACCTTGCTTAGCGAGCCTGCCGCCCACCAATAATAATGATTTTGAGTAAAATAAAATAAAATTTTTGGCCAATTAACGCCACAAAAAATTGGGAAATAAAAAAAAATAAATAAAAGCTTTTCTTTATTTTTGTTATGCCCATCGCTGCCTTGAAATGTCCAAAAATAATATATGTATATTTCTTCCTAATTATATAATTTTAAAGAATTTAACCATTCCATTACTACGCTGTTTACATTCACCAATAAAATTTTATTTTCATTTTCTCAAAACTATTTGCTAAATAAAAAAACTATTTATATTTTTTTCCCTCCGCCCTCCTCTGAAAAAAATAAGTTATAAGAAACAAGGTATAAAAAAAAGTAAAAAAAAAAAAGCAAGAATAAATAGTAATCTGGAGATCCGATACCGGAACCCTGGGTTCAAAGGTGACGTCAGGGGGGTTGGGGAATTTCCCCCTATCAGCCAAGAATGGATCACCCGTCTTCAGATGCCAATTATGAATGTTGCACTAAAAATATTAATTTGTTAATTGTGATTGCAGTTCTTAATATTGTGGTCTAAAAACACAATTTTTACTGTTTTATATCAAAAATCTCTGCCACCCCATGACCCCCAAAGTTTTTTACCCCTGTGACCCTAACCGGATGTTCTCAGTATAAATAAGAAATAAATAGAATAGAATAAATACACAAAATTTCTCTCAAATCGTAATGACCCATAAGCACAGTTTATGAAATTTTTAGACAGAAAATTAGAAAAAAAAAATTAATAAAAATATAAATAACCCTGGTATACATATAGTATACGATTATAATGTATTATAATGAATATAATAATATATTATAATCATATATTATACAATTATAATGTACAATGTACATAAACATATTTTAATCATACAATATATGATTATAATGTATTGTTATGTACCTTATCTTAAGATACTCTTAGTACAGGAAGATCATCATACAATGTTTCTGATAAAAATTTGCACCATGGTAATTTCTATAGGCTGGAAGTGTTGGTAAAATATGTAATTTAAATCATGAAATCAAAGAGGGAGTAAATGCGTTGTGCTGTAATCATTTTGGCAGTCTAAAGACGACTTAGCTCGGCTTGTCAAATGCGTAGTCCTGGGCCGCCTATCAAGAGGAGTGTATCCCTGATCTTCTTCTCCTGTGAGATATGCTGTTTCTCCGGCAGACCGGATAGCTTTTCGTTCCTCACGTTTAGTAATTGGAGCACTTGAGGGTCGTGTGAAAGGAAGTTTCGGGATGTTGTCTGTGTTGGGATCAGAACACGTAATACTTACGTTGGATCTATTTTTGACGTGGACAAGCATCTGAAATACATGAAATAATAATACATTAAAAATCACAAGGGCTGAGAGTGGGGCTGACGGGTCCAGTTCCCCTGCAAACTGGGGGCCTGGGACAAAAAATTCATTTTTCTCAAGACCATCTCTATAATTATGTATGTGATGTTTTGAATTAAGCATTATAAAAACTCTGCACTTGGACCCCACTGGGCCTTTCCCGACATTCAGACCCCTGTCACTGGGGCCCCGGCAGCTATACTGCCCTGGGCCCAAGCAGAGCTGCTTTCGATGCCCCTGTCAAAAATACAAATATGATAACCATTTTGAAGACATACTGTATTTCTATAATAATCTAAAGATATTGACATTCTTGAGCTTAATGCAATTACAGAGGTGACTCTGCCCTTGGGGTGTTAACACATTCATGACAACCAATCACCAATGTGATTAATAGTTTTACATCAAACGTTTGATGTCATTAGTTTGTAATGCAACTACTAACAATACATTATGCAGCAAGCTAATGATACATGCATATTATCCTACTACCACTGCACTCCTGAAGTGTGCTGTACATTTTCCTAATACTGTACTTTAATTGTACTGATAATTCACATCAAAAAATACTGCTTATGAAAACTGCAGCATTTGGCTAACTGGTATGGTTCCTGCCTCTTGCACGCCAGGGCCAGGTTTCGATACCCGGCTTTGAATCGAGTACTGAATTTGGGTCAAAAAACGCTCAGTCCCTCGAATAACCCTCTCAAGAGTGTTAGGTGATTTAAGGACCATGTTTGTATCAGTTTGTATCGGTTGTGCCCATTTAAGAGGGAGGCCAATTATTAGCCACTAGTCAAATGACTATGTGGCTATCTTGCCTTCCTAGGTTGTGTACCGAACTTTCATAAAAAAAAAAAGAAGAAAAACAAAAGTGCTTGTTTTTCATCTGGTCACAAAATTTACAGCATTATTTAGCAGTTGAGTAGCACCACTAACAATGTCCAACACAGTATTATATTTCCAATGCAATTTTTTACCTATTAAATATGAATTCAAACATTGAAATATTTCATTGGTATTCAAAAATGAAGACAAAAATGAGATTTTTGTTTTTACAAAGCACCGAAAGATGTTTAAGTCTGTCATGGTGACTATGATTCAGTATAGATAGTCTTTACAATCACAGAAACAAAAACAGCTTAAAAACATAACATTATAAGTGATGTAAATGATCACCTCCTGAAGTCAAAAAGCAGTTACAGACCAAAAAGTTTTCCTAATACACAGATTTGTTGGATCTATCACCGTCATTATATAATGTGGTGTTATACATATTTAAACACCATTACAATCTAGGAAGTGTCAAAGTGGTGATGCTAAAATGACTTTTGTAATACAGTAATTATTATGGAGATCCATTTTAATGTCAACAGTGAGATGTCTAATCTAGCATAAGCCAACAAAAAAAATCACAAAACATTCTAGGAGATGTTGAGGCGATGATTGAGGGACGTTGCAGGCTGGGATACAGGAGAGAGAAATGAATGCAGCAGTGTTTAAGTACATTGTAGGCTGCAATACTGTGGGAAAGGAATGGTTGAGGGTGTGTTGCAGGCGGAGATATAATGGGAAGAAATGGATGCAGTAATGGTTGAGGGTGCGCTGTAGGCTGCGATACAACGGGGAAGGAATGCTTGCAGTAAGGGCTGAAGGTGCGCTGAAGGCTCTGATACAACATGGTAGTAATGGTTGCAGAATGGTTGAAGATACAGTGGGGAAGGTATGGTTGCAGCCATGGTTACATTAGGCAATTTCGATGTGAGGCTGCAATACAGCGGGGAAGGGATTAATGCCAGATAAGAAAAAATCATGCACTTGGTGACTTAAGCAGCACAGCTGAATAAAGAAATCAACTCACCCTGCCCTGTACAGGCGAAGCTAAAAAGTCAGGTACAAAATAAAATAATTTTTAGAAAAAAACTTACTTAGAAAAATACCGTACGAGCAATAATATAATGTCTAAAATCTCTAATGAATACTAAATTTATACAAACATATTTATTAGTATACAATCGAATGTCAAGACATTACCATCAAGTCTGACAAGAATACAGTGCACCCTTCAATTCAAGACCTCTTTAATTCCAAGACCCCTATAATTCGAGACCATTTTTTTAAAAGAACGAAATAACAATCTTCAATTAGTTAACACTAAGCTAACCCTGTTTGTGGAGGCCGAACCCCAAGACCACCCCAATTTTGTTTAGGTCCCAATTGTATTTATGAGGTATGTTTGTTTTTTTAACTGAAAGAAATATTTGTAGCAGAGCTAATCACTATCATATATGAACCCTTTACCTGCATGATTTCTTTGGTGCTACTTAGCTTTTCAATTCTCTTTACTTCACTCTGTGACTTCTCATCAAATAGTTGATCGCATTTCTGCATGTACCGCTTCCTGTAACACAAACATTAACACTCCAAATCAAACACTTGCAATTTTCAATTTGTAAACAAATTTTATTTTATCCTCTGCCTTGATTCTTTTTGTAGAACCATATTATTTTAATTTATTTCTGCCCTCCTCTGAAATACAGTTAAATAAAGTTTTCTAATTAAATTATATACATATATAAAGTCTTGAATAATGTGGTAAATAATCTTATCTTTTATAATATAGTTGAGGTTGGCATACCTTAACTCAGTGTTCTCTGTCATAAGGTTATTAATACGTTGCTTGTATTTATCATCAACTTCATCTACTTTCTCTTGGAAGTTCTCCTCAAATCCAATCAAGCGTCTCTTCTGAAAAATAAATAATTTAATGTCAAATTAAATGCAAAATGAATCAAAACAAGAAAATCAGTAACAGGACAATATTTCTTTTGCAGGCCCCCTAAATTTTGGAAAATAAATAAAATCAAATGTAGAAAAATGAAAAATATATTTAAATTTAAGTCTGTGAGTGCCATGTCGTACCTGATGTTGTATTCTACTGTTGATATTGACATGATCGATTGACATTTAATTGATTTTAAGGGTACCAACCAATTCATCTCTAAGCCTTGCAGAGGTTAAAGCACTCACTGCTTGCATACATACCGTATCGGTTAGCTCGGACTTGGTTTCAGCTAATTGGGATTTGGTGACAGCTAGATTTCCGATGGTTTCGTCAAGCTCTCCTTGCACAGACTTCAAGTGTTCAAGAGCTTTCTTTAAGTTCTGCACATCGTCAGACGTACTTAAGAACTTCTTCAACATGCTCTACAAAAAGATGT